TGTTTCATACCGAACGGGGTATGGAGACCTGATAATTTGGTCTCCATGCCAGACGGGGTATGGGGACGACCTGCTTCACCCTCATACCGGACGAGGTTTTGAGATTTAATGATTTGATATTCATACCGGATGGGGTATGAGGATGGCTCTGTAATTGGGATTATTATAGAAAATGGTTTACGTGTAGTGGAAACATCCCTATGAACCCCCATAGATACTAACAAACTGGTAAAAAGAAAAACAATTATGGTTTGATTTATGTTAATGGATATGGATTTATAATATGTTCTATGTCGCTGATTGTTTGTTAAATTATGATATGTATGATATTATTATTTTTTATAGGTTGTTTTCATAAATTCCACTATGATAAGTGAACGAGAAATAATTTCATGATTGATAAATGAATTTACTAAATTTAATGCTCAATTAGTGGTTTTCGATTTTATACTAACATTTACTTCTGTACCGGTGATATAGTGTGATATCCTTACTGGGCTAGTGTAGCTCCTCTTTTATTTAATTATCTAAGATCAAGAAGACCGTGTTCTAGAGCCCGATTTGCAAGAAGATTGAGAGTATATGCTATATATTTTCTATTTTCTATTGGTTTCCTTATTTCTTGTGTTTCTTTCAAATAATTAATTCTGTAATACTATTCAGTACTTTTAAGTTATTGTGTAAAAAAGGTAAACCTTAATCTTTTATTTCACTTGCACTTAAATTATTATATATTTTCTTTTGAATTTTAAAGGTCGTTACACATAAACTCTCGCCTCCTACACTATTATGTCTTTTTTTCCTCATATTATCTGTTTTATCTCATCTATTTGAGAAATCAATAATTTTGTTGTCTTAAAGTCATTTATGTAAAATTATCTTTCATAACTTACATATTCTTACAAGTGACCATTTTTTTCCGGTACTTTCTTATCACTTTTTTCTCTCTGTATTTCTTGCATCCTTTATATTGTAGTAACTTAAGGTCTCGAAGTACAAGCAAAAGTCTTTGGTAATCTTTCTATATAAGCTTGTAAATAATTGGTTTTATTTACCTTTCATTGTTATCAACATGGTTTGATTGTTAAGCCGAATTCGTCTTATAGCTCCGCTTATTTACTTAGAATAATAGATAACAAAATAAGGGTTAGCATGGAGTATGGTTTATTCCCTTATGCTACTTGGGTATTTGGCCCACTTTTGATAGTTTTTGATAAATTATGTATAAGATTTAGTCATAATAATTGCTATATATATGAGTAATTAGTTTTTTTAGAGAATAATTATCACTAGATTGTAAATTTTCTAAGATTTTAAGTTACGATTTTGATACAAATGTTTCTTACAATGATAAGTATCTCACATTTTCAAAACTTAATAAAATATTTTATTATAATGTATCATGTTCATTATTGTATTATTAGTTTATCTTGTACATTGATTTATGATTCTACTTTTCACTGAGAAAATTTTATGTTTGTGTTTTTTTATTTTGAATTTTTAAAATATTATTAAAATTATTATTAATTAGAAATATTTTTACTTAAAAATTATTTAATATTTAATAAAAATAGTTAAAAAATACTATCATATTAAAAAATATAAACTATACATTTAGTGAAAATAAATTTTAAAAGGTTAAATATAAATTTGTATTAAAAGTTAAAATTATTTTTTAAAATTTATAAATTATAATTTTTATATTTAAAATTTATAAAAAACACATTTTGTCGTAGACTAATTTAAAATTTAATATTTTTATTTTTTTGCAAAACTATGAAACTCATTTTTGAATCAAAATGCTTTCGTAAGTGTATTTAAAATATTTAAATTAGATAAAAATTAAAAACGAATTTAATTATTTTGAAAAAAAAAAGTTATTGAAATACTTTTTTGTTATTTTATTAATGCTCTTTAATACAATAATTTAATTAAAATTCACAAAGATTTATATAATCTATTTCACTTTTTAGAATACTATCGTTAGTTTAATGCTAATTTAGATTGAATTTTAAAAAAATAAGTTTAACTAATTAAATATACAAAAACCTCAAGATTAACATCAATAATGCATCTCAAATCTCAATTATTAATAATAATTAAAACTGAGTTATAAATAATCTCAACAAATTAATACAGTAATGCATCTAAATAATTCAATAGTTAATAATCATTAGTGTTGATATAAAAACGATATTAATGGGAAGAAGGATTTTTTTTTTTTTTTTAAAGAGTCTGTAGCATGTAACAGAAAATTGATATGTAGACTTATTGTAATCATTTTCCACCACAGCGTTAAAGATGATGTAAGGATTAAACCAGACCCGGCCACGGTTGCTAGAATGCGAAGGGGAGCGCAACGCGCACCCTTTCTCTGTTAAGCACATAGTGTGCGCAATACGCATCCGGCTTATCCTAAGACCAAAACCTAGTGAGCAAAAAGAAGAGAGAGAAATGGAGAGTAAGATAAGCTGGGATTAGAATTAGATTACTGTGACGTAACCCAAAATAAACACGCTCTCATCCTCCTCCTCTCGCGCTCTGTGTCTGCTTAACAGCAGAGCCTCTCTTGCCGAACAGCTAAAACCTGTATTTTCGCTCTTCATTATTGTTATTATTATTATTATTATTATTTTTAAAAACACACTGTGGATATTAATATAATCCTCTCTCTCTCTCTCTCTCTCTCTCTCTAAGGAACACTTACTGTCACTCTAGTGGAGAGAGAAACAACACTATAACCAGAGACATAAACCAGATTTAAATCACAATCTCTCTCAAACCAAAAAGTGCTTGGTTTCCTCACTCTAGCTTCAAGCTTTGAACAAACTCTACGCTTTCTCCTTTTCTCTCTCTCTCTCTCTCTCTCTCTGTATAGATATATATATCCTCATATCGTTTGGTATCTGATTTGAAACCCTAGCATTTGGATCCCGAGAAGTGTAAGCCATTGTTGGATGTGATAGCTTTTTTTCTCTCTCTTGAAAACCAGCATTTCTTTACATCAGTTTAATATCTTTGTGTCTATTTTCGTACATCTATATATCTTCGTTATCTGTGTGGATGAGCCTGTCGCTGATTGAGGCCGTCGCATTTGGATCCTGAAGCATTTGGATGTTAGAGAAGGAGAAGAAGAGTGAGTGAGGGATCAGATCGGAGATGGCGGAGGTTTCCGGCGAGGGAGGAGCCGCGGTGGATGTGAGCAATGGACGGCCGGCGGTCAGTGAATCGACCACACCAACGCAGCCGGGGTTGTTAACGGTGTCGGCGTCGTTCAAGGAAGGAGGAGGAAGTAAAGGTTCGTCGCGAAGGAGAGCGGCTGTGAGGCCGAGCTTCGACGCTGACAATGAGTTCATCACGCTGCTCCACGGCTCGGATCCGGTGAAAGTGGAGCTTAATCGGCTCGAGAACGAAGTTAGAGGTGTGAAATGCGGCTCGATCTAGTGGTTTTCGGGTCGATTCGTGCTTGTTTATGCCAGTTTGATAGCGGATTTAGGTTTTTTAATTTCTGATGCTGATTGCTTTTTGTCTGTGTATTTCATTTTTGTCTCCTCCTTTTTATTGGGAGCGTAGATAAGGACCGGGAGTTAGGGGAAGCACAAGCAGAGATCAAAGCGTTGAAGCTTTCTGAGCGGCTTAGAGAGAAGGCCGTCGAAGAGGTCAGTTTAAATTTTTATTTTCAGTATTGGATCATTTGAGTATGTCTCGATGTTTTTTGGGGATTGATTTTAGTGTTTACTATCATACCTGGTGGTAGTTTTGTTCTTTATTTATCATTTTTTTATGGTCCTTAACGTCTACCTTGACGGGGTAAACTTTGTAGAGGTTGGCATCTCCATTCATGATAAGCAGCACTGTTTATCGTTGCAGTTCATCTTATTACCTGTTGGGGCAAATAGATGCTAGAAATAGAAAACGAAGTGTCAATTTCGTCTATTGAAGATTGACAAATAGTAAAGACTATAGTTTATGTGGATTAATAGGAGAAGGCTTTTCTTCGATATTTAATATTTTATTTGTGGGAATGCAAGATAAGCACTAATTCCATCAAAATGCATTTGTTTAGTTCTCTTTGGTATGCTTACTAATCTCAGAATGTCAATCCTGAAATGTCTATGTAACAGTGTGAATACAATCCCCTACTTCCTTTTTTATGACTTTCCCCCTGGTGCTTGTTGATCTTTGGTATTTGAAATTTATATAATGGAAAATGAAAAGAATGTTCTGGGCATGACAAGATCACACTGCTGTTAACTCCACTTTCAGAAAAGAAGGTTAAACTAGTTCCTGTTTATTTTCTCCTGTTGCAACTCTTCTTGTTGTCTTTTTTGTCCTTGTTCTTGTTGGGATGCACTGTAAAAGCTGTCACTGACTTAGGATTAAGAGAAGGAAACCTACTGCAGGCTTATTTTCTTCCTTTAGCTGTCAGAAGAATAAACAAACAAATAAATCAGTTACCAAGAGGTGTGAGAGATGGAAAGAAACCCACTGCAGTGCATGCACTTATTCTAGAGCTTCAGGATTGAGATGGATTTTATTGTTAGAGATTTGAAGTGTGTAATGGTTTCTGCATTTGTTGGTTGTTTTTGTATGAAGCTTTGAACATGTTGAATTGGTCCTTTACCTTGTTTCTATTAATATGCTTACTGTGGTATAGATATTTGCTTCTTCATGTTTTATGAAGAAGGCTGATGTGATTTCATCAGCCATTTTATACAAGTTTGAATGATTTGCTGTGGACTTTGCATCTTGGTTTTGGTTTACATTTGCTTATTCAATGTTTCTCTTCTGTGTGACAGCTCACTGAAGAACTTGCCAAGGTGGAGGAGAAACTCAAGTTAACTGAATCTCTTCTTGAAAGCAAAGTATTAGTTGGAACCTCTCTGAGAACCTATTTATGATTTTTCTCTATAGTGTTTTATATTTAAATAATCTTAATATGTATTGCAGAATCTTGAAATCAAGAAAATCAATGATGAGAAGAAGGCGTCAATGGCTGCTCAGTTTGCAGCTGAAGCCACTCTTCGAAGGGTTCATGCCGCTCAGAAGGATGATGATATGCCTCCAATTGAGGCCATTCTTGCACCCTTGGAGGCTGAACTTAAGCTTGCTCGACAGGAGGTATTTCCCTTGCATTTGAACATAAAACATTGGTTCTTTCCTGAAATGCGGTATATTTTATGAATAATAATTATTAGTGGCCTTGAATTCTTTGTAGATTGCAAAACTTCAAGATGATAACAAAGCACTAGATCGTCTTACCAAATCAAAAGAGGCAGCTTTATTAGAAGCTGAAAGGACTGTAGAGATTGCATTGGCAAAGGCTTCTATGGTGGATGATCTTCAAAATAAGAACCAAGAATTAATGAAACAAATAGAAATTTGCCAGGTATGACAAATATATATATATATATATATTTTTGTCTCTCCTTGCTTCAGGTGAATCAGAATGTGATAATGTGCTTTTTGTGTTCTGATTATATGTCTACTGGTTGTTTATACTAGGAAGAAAATAAAATTTTGGACAAAATGCATCGTCAAAAAGTTGCAGAGGTTGAAAAGCTTACTCAGACTGTACGTGAGCTGGAAGAGGCTGTTCTTGCTGGCGGTGCTGCTGCAAATGCTGTGAGGCATTACCAACGGAAAGTTCAGGAAATGAATGTAATGCATCATACATATATCTGCATGGAATATCGATTTTTTTTTTTGTTCATAAACCATTTAATCATTTATAAATCTGGTCTATTTTTCTTTCTGTAACTAATAGGAGGAAAGAAAAACTCTTGACCGAGAGCTGGCCCGTGCAAAGGTAACAGCAAACAGAGTGGCCACAGTGGTCGCAAATGAATGGAAGGATGCTAATGACAAAGTTATGCCTGTAAGACAATGGCTTGAAGATAGGAGGTTCTTGCAGGTAATTGTTGTTTATTGTCACTTTTCCCTTTCAGTTTTTTGGTTTGTTCTTGCTGTTTATGTTTTTGAAAAGAGCTGCTGCGCTCAACTTCTGTTCTCTTCATTCATTTTCATCTCTGCTGTGCCAGGGAGAAATGCAGCAACTACGTGACAAACTTGCTATAACTGAGCGAACTGCAAAGTCTGAAGCACAGTTAAAAGTAATAGTCTGTTTTTGCATGCTTTAATGACTTTTATTATTGTTTCTTTGATTTTAAAAATTGACATTTCACTTGCATTTCCCAGGAAAAGTACCATTTGCGGCTTAAAGTGCTGGAAGAGAGTCTGAGAGGCTCTTCTAACAGTAGTAACCGTAGTACACCTGATGGAAGAAGCATGAGCAATGGGCCTTCTCGTCGGCAATCGCTAGGTGGAGCTGATAACTTCTCAAAGCTTACTTCCAATGGCTTTTTATCCAAAAGAACACCAACCTCGCAGTTAAGATCTTCTCTGTCTTCTAGTACCAGTTCTGTATTAAAGCATGCTAAAGGGACATCAAAATCATTTGATGGAGGCATGAGATCTTTAGACCGGGGCAAAGTGCTTTTAAATGGAATGGGCCCAAATTATTCTTTCAACCAATCCTCTGAGGGTACCAAGGAAGGGGATTCACCTAATGCTTGGAAAGGAAATTCAGATGATAAGCCTAATGAGTTCCCAGCAGCAGATACAGAGGATAGTGTCCCAGGGGTCTTGTATGATTTGCTGCAAAAAGAAGTTATAGCTTTGAGGAAAGCGGGACATGAGAAAGATCAAAGCCTCAAAGATAAGGATGATGCGATTGAGGTCAGTATCCTGTTACCTCCACATCAATAATCTTAATGTCTAAATCAAAATTTAAGTTGAGGTTGTTGTTCTTCAGATGCTTGCAAAGAAAGTAGAAACATTGACAAAGGCAATGGAGGTTGAGGCTAAGAAGATGAGAAGAGAAGTAGCTGCCATGGAGAAAGAGGTTGCTGCCATGCGTGTGGAGAAAGAACATGAAAATAGGGCCAAGAGGTTTTCTAATTTGAAAGGCCCTTCTAATACTGCTCAGTTGCTTTCTGGCAGGTAGATGATTTGCAATTCTTTTTTTTTTCCCCCTTTCAGGTCATGCCTCAGAGTAGATTATAGATATTCCATACAGTTAAATATTTTTGATTGCTTGCTTATTCTTCTAGTGACAACACCTCAATATGACAACCATTTTAAAAATGATATATCTCATACTTTTTATTTCAAAAAAAAAAAAATTCTAGTGACGACAGGTTTATCACCTAAGGCTTTGAAAGGAAATAGATAGTTTCCAATTGAAGTAGACTGGAGTTCTTTGTTATTGGAGACAAGTCGTGCACTCATACGTTCTTCCTTCCAGTCTCCTCTCCAGACAAAACTTCCTTTTCTCAGTCATTAATTGTTTATTAGTTTGTTAAAACAAATAGATGATGAATGGCTTTGAAAGGAAATAGATAGTTTGCAATTGAAGTAGACTGGAGTTCTTTGTTATTGGAGACAAGTAGTGCACTCATACGTTCTTCCTTCCAGTCTCCTCTCAGACAAAACTTCCTTTTCTCAGTCATTAATTGTTTATTAGTTTGTTAAAACAAATAGATGATGAATGGCTTTGAAAGGAAATAGATAGTTTCCAATTGAAGTAGACTGGAGTTCTTTGTTATTGGAGACAAGTCCTGCACTCATACGTTTTTCCTTCCAGTCTCCTCTCAGACAAAATTTCCTTTTCTCAGTCATTAATTGTTTATTAGTTTGTTAAAACAAATAGATGATGAATCTCTGAACTTGTTGTTAGTCTAGTTTTCTTTTATTGGAGACCCTAGTGTGGAATTTGGATTACAAAGAATCGACTATCATTGTTCTGGTTTATGATTCATGAAATGCTAACACATGGAGGTAGAGGTTCTGGACAAACAATCGAGTATCAAAGAATCAAGTATCATTGTCTAGTTTTCTTTTATTGGAGACCCTAGTGTGGAATTTGGATTACAAAGAATCTGAGTATCATTGTTCTGTTTTATGATTCAGGAAATGCTAACACATGGAGGTAGAGGTTCTGGACAATGCAGTGGGCAGAGGGTTTTAGTTCTCATATTATCATGGTGTCCCTGAAATTGGAAGATCCAATTATAAACAGGAAGAAGACTAATTTAATTAAGGAGAAAGAAGACTAATTTAATTAAGGAGAAAGAAGAGTAATTTAATTAAGGAGGAAAGGGACTGAATAATTGTCATGGTACCATGCAAGGATTAGTGGGGTATACGTGGCAGGAATACCTTTAAAACTGGTAAAATAGCTATAGCCACTAACTGCCTGTTTTGTGGGGTTTGTGAGCTCATGGTGGAATAGGTTGTGATCAAGCTTGGGTTGCCAGTTGGGCACATAACAAGCGGAAATGCATAAGTGGCCAAGTTCTTTTGTCATGCGCAAAATGACATACTAGTAGTCCCTTTTACAAATTCTTTTCTAATATTATCTTAGTTCCGTCGCTTAATCAATTACTGATATAGTCCAAAGCTTAACATTACTTGATCATGGCATGTAACACTACGTCAAAGTGATTGCACTACATATTGATTTATGCTAGGAATTTAACTTTATCTACTAATAGATGCCTGTCAGAGTAGAAAGGCTTACCTCTTGAAAGGAATTATTTCAAATTTGGTACATGTTTTATTTATTTTCCCTTTAAGGTGATTATAAAATAAAAAAAAAACATTAATGAATTTCTATGGTGGATTTGACACACAAGTTAGAATTTCAATCATCTTTTTGAGATGCTTCTAGGATATTATTTATTTATACTGGAAGGATAAAGAATTGATTATCATTGCCTATGGAGATGTTTCTATTTATGAATAATGATATCATTTTTTGGAAGAACTGGAGTGGTCTCTATATTAGTCAGGAGCTGTCATATAAAGCAAATAGGAATTATGCATTATGTGAGGCCACATGATTTAACTATTTACTTTGCCTATATAGATGTTTCTATTTACAAATAATGATCTCTAATTTTCCTTTAAAGAATGATCTGTAATCTTTTTGAGGAACAATGGTAACGATATCTAAATTAGTTAAGACTATCTTCTAAAGAAGAGGTTAAGAACTAAGCATTATTGGATGCCATCCCCTGCGCAAGGATGATACACACAAATCAAGAAATGGTCCAAATTTTTATCTCAAAAAAAGCATTATCAGGTGCCATAAGATTAATGTGACTTCCTAACCATTTAGCATTCATTTGGTTTTGTAACTGTTTGGTATAGAACTGCCTTCAAGTTTGGTCAATGTCAGTTCTAGAATAACATCCACACCAGAAAAAAAGTAGAAATAAAAATGTTGCTCAGACAGTTTAATAAGATGACTAGGAAATTTTTTATTTGGTCTGGTTGCATTGTATTATTGCTATTTGTTTCTCCTCTTTTTACTGTGGCTGCCTCATGTGTGAGAGCATAATACTTGTTGAACCATTTTTTACAGAAACTTTAGGATCAGCAAAGTGACAAGGAAAATAACCTGCATCTAAACTAATTGATATAAATTAGTTCTTCAAGAGCTTGCTTGACTGAAAAATTAAGAATTGTGTTTATAAATTCTTTTTGTCTAGTATCCAAAGTGACGTTAATTGTCATTATTGTTAAGTTGATAAGTGTTGTTGATGCAGAAATGTAACACGAAGTGGGATGACAAGGAGCACTCAATGACGACGAAGTCCCTATCACAAGTGAAGTTGAGTACACCATTATAGGCCTTGTTCTTCCATCTCTCATATCACCTTTTTTATTGTTTTGATTTGCAATTGATTATAAGATTGTAACTTGCATGCTGACAATCCTGTACCCTCTGGAATTACCAAAGGAAAAAAAAGTCCAAGAGAAGAAAATCAGGAGGAGAATCGGTGTGCTTCTGACATAGACTGTTATTACTCTGCTTATTAGTGATCAGGGAACAAGATAATGGGAGATATTGACTTTGGGCTAACCTTTTGTCAGGTTTTCGAGTGACCAGTGGTTGTGTGGTTGTATAGGTGCTTATTGGCTTTTTTTTTCGTCTACTACCCTATCCCTTTTCTCTCCCTTTTTTTTTTTTCCCTCCTTTTGCAGTTTATATTTGTAATTTGCAGTTAGTGTGATTGTTGTCTTTCAGGTTTGTTAATATTCTTGTAATCAGATGAAGATGTTTATGGTTGTGTTATTCATTAAATAGTTACTTGGTTATAAATCCATGGTGGAATGACAAATTTGTTCTTGTTTTTGCTTTGTACCCAAACTTGTGGCGATTGTTTGAGGCAAGATGGCCCCGTCTTGTTGTACCCACCTAAAACCAGAGGTTATTCTCTGCTTGCTCGGTTCTAATTGATGCCAATCTCAATCCCTGTAGGTTATTGACTTGGATTAATTGTGTTCTCCTAATTCTGCCCCCGGTATTTTTTAAAATCCCATTCGAACTAGTTGCAAACAAATAAAGATGACGCAAGCTAAATGCTTTCTCCAAGTAGAGTGGGTTGAGAGTTAACAGTCTTACTGGTTTAAATAATGGTGGAAAAATAACTTGTTTTCTGTAGCCAGCCAACGAAGTAATATAACGATTGATAAGGGCTCATGCATCAGTGTTAGAACTTTGGGAGTATAATTTAAGCAGGAAAGAAAAATTGGCTTTGTCAGTTGCTTTGAAAAATTTAGGGATATTTCAGTTCTATTTATTATTCTCTCTATCCAAATAAAACAAAGGTATCTAAAGGAGGAGAAATACAAAAAGGTAGAGGGATAGGGATAATCAAAATTCGGAAGTTGGGTAAAAATTCCTCTGAAATGTGAAAATGAGAATAAATTCCGGCGTTTTGGATGTTTGGGTTTTTGAGCATGCGGCTGTGTCCAGCTGAGTCTAACATTAGACCTGACTGTTGCCTTCTATGACAGACACAGACAGCTTCCATTTTTTATATAGGGGTAGGTCTAGGGGTAGAAAACGACCGACGAACTAGACTCTAAACACAGTATATATCATGATCGACGAGCAATCTTTACTTTCTTTTTTAATCTAAGAAACTTTTCAAGAGGAAATAGCAAATTTGAAAAAAAAAAAAAAACATTTTAGAATTTATTTTGGAATTTATTGCACTACCATTCATTAATAATTGATGTTCCATTATTAGCTCCATTTATTCATTTTATGCGCATTATGCACACTAATTATAGTAAAATTTATGATTTTTAACTAATAATAAATCATAAATAAACTAAATGTGTGTCACAATATTACCGACGATTATGGGATAAAAATATTTGAATTTAATATACAAAATTATATGCACACAAAGAGGTAGATAACAAATATGTTACTCTATGAAAACTTACATACACATAAAAAAAAAAAAAATGGGAACCAACTGAATTAATAAGACTAAAGCCTTGAACTCCGTAAATTGGTGTTGTCCTACTCCTTTTTATAAGTTAAAACATTAGAGAAAGTTGGTTAATGAAAATAAATTCTCAAAACCAAATATTGAAGTAAACAAACAAAGTTTTGTTTTACATTATGTTGGAATAACCATTTTTTTTATAAAAAAAATAATAAAAATTCGAATCATATAAAATTTTATGTGAAAAGAAAACAATAAATTTCAAATTTTATTAAATTAAAATTTTATACGCTTTAATATTTTTCTGAGTACAAATTTTATTTTCTTATGACAAAATTAAATATAATTTCAAAATGATTTTTATTAAATTTATATTTTTCTTCCCAATATGGCCTTTTGTAACGGCCCCGGAAAATATTAAAATGAAATGAGTATTTAAATATATCGAATGCGGAAACGAGATCAAAATTTCAGTTAACATCCCTTACACGAAAAACCAAATAAACGTACTTAAAATATAAAAGGTTAAACTAACTAAGAAAGAAAACTCGAAAATAAACTATGCATATGACTACAGAGTCTCTAGGCATCCCCTTCGTCGTCCTCCTGCGGAACGGGCTCGGGAACCATGTCTTCCTGATCTGAAATGGTTAATTAAGGAGTGAGCTACACTAGCCCAGTAAGAACATCA